AAAAAAAAAAAAAAAAAGGAAGAGAAGACGAGAGAGACATATAAGTTTTACAGAACAACTAAGCCAGGAATTTATTTGTCACATTTACTGTCATAATGGACTCCAATCCCTCCTCCCAAATAATACGCACTAACCTGATGAACAGTTAAAAATAATCGAAGTAAAAATATTGATGCCAACGAACGACCAATCATAAATCGTTATGTATATATATAAATGTTACAATATATGTTACAACAGACGACAAACACAAATAAAAGGTCAAAATGTAGAGGTACTTCCGGGGTGCACAACAAAGATAATTCAACAGTTGGACCTGCGAAAATAAACTTTTGCTTAGCGACCGCCTATCAGACGCATCAAAACTATAGAAGAAAAAATTTTACGCTATTACACCTGTCAAGTGTACAAATCAAATTCCCGCAATACAACGTTGTACTATTTCGTGCTAAGACCACGTACCATTGTGTTGCTGCCGTTTCCTACTATCGCCAAGTAAAAAAATTTTTAGACCTGATGCTTTTTACAGTTTAGGCGAGTCTGTTTCAGGCTCTTCAGTGCTTGTTTGGGACTTGATCTTCCCGATTTGCTCTTTTCGTTGTTCTCTGGTACACTTTAGAGGGATATAATTTTTTTTTTCTTTTTTGGCTGTCGGTTAACTAGCATTAGGGTGATTTTATCTTTTCCGTTTTTCCTGTTATTTGTAGGATTAAAAATAATGATTGTTATATACAGTTAAAGGTTTCTTGTTCGCTTCATTTTGGTTCCGAAAAAAATGTTTTGATGGATTTATAACTTTCTCTTTGTTGGTGAAAGAAAAGTTGTTTTCTCTACCTATTTTGACTGATTACTCTTAATTGCTGCTGGCAGTAGGGATTTTAGCAACTTTTACGGTTGGTGGTGTACGCAAAACAGCGTCCTAGTAAAATTTCAGGAAAAAGTTCTTTTTTTTGTCTTCTTCAAAGAAGTTCTCATCTTCTTGTGAAAAATCTACAAAAAAATTCGAAGAAAAGAATTCGGGATACAACTGTACATCAGCAAAAGCATCTTGGTTTTTCGTTTGTAGAGGTGGCATTGGTGCTCAGTGATTTCTGTTCTTAGATAACTTTTTTTGTGTTTTGTTTCTGTACTGCATAAATTTTCGCGTTACAGGTAAAACTAATTACAGGTAAAACTGTTGCCCTTGTAAGGAAGCGTCTGTGCAGTATTTTACGTTCGTAACTTTCTTTCTCGATCTTCCGCAAGTATGCGTGATAAGGTGAGGATTGTCTCTTACTTTATTATTTGGTTTGAGGCTAGGGAGAGGCGTGTCAAATATAAGTTTGGTAATAGGAGTTCTGCTGTATTTTTGCTTATCTCATGTATATAAACTCTTTATTGTTACTCTTAGGTATTTTTGACCAGGTGAATTTTTATTATTTGCTTGTGCCATTCTGGACTGCAGGCTTTGCGATGTGCTGCTAAGGTTTTAATTTGTTTCAGTGGCGTAAGAAACGTATGCGTCGTTTGAAGAGGAAGAGAAGGCAGGCGAAGAAGTAGAACTCAGTCTAGCCCTCTCCGGTTAATGATGATTTTTTATCGTTATTGCTTCTGTGAAACCCGTCACCAATATTCAACGCAGCGTTTTTTCGTTTTTGCGAGCCTTCGAGAATGTGCAGAAATAAATGTATTTTTTCTTGTATATTTGAATAAAAGGCTTGGGTGTTTTTTACTCCTTTGCAGTAATACTGATTTTTTTTTTACGTGATGCTGAAGACATTTCTGAGTTGGTCAGGCGGTTGGGAGGTTGCCAAAACAAAATTTGAGAATGATTTCTGTTTATATGAATTTATATTAGACCACTTCCGGTAAGGTTAAGTTTTTAATATGTGAAAGTCACGTAAATTGTAGGTTGAGTTTTGGTGTGCTCTGCTGCATTTGCATAGA